TGCTGAGCTTCTGGCCCTATTACCGTTTTCACGGGCAGCGTCCAGACTTACCACGAGGCCTTGGCCTGGAGCTGCAGTTCTTGTTTTAGTCTGGCCAAGAGCTGTTCAACGCTCCCCGATGTCAACCTGCCCCGCGCTCGAGACCGGCAGATGGTAACGCAAGGGGATAAAAGGAACGGGTGCTGGTCAGCAACGAAGCCCAGCTCCCTTTCCAAAAGCCACAGGCACTGATTCAGAATAAAGAAGGTGGGCAAGGTCCCGTTTTTACAGCATTGCCACCAGTAGCGTTACTCATACCACCACATGAGTAAGCTCACGCAGCAACCCACGGAGGCTTTAACACCTTCAAAAGGTTGCAACTTTAAAATACTTTTAAAGACCTATAAAACATTTGCACCTTGCACGATCCACTTAAAGCCACCCACGGCATCCGCAACCGAGTAAGGAGGTCCCTGCGCCCTTCTCCCTCCAAACGGAACAGAATAAAAAGGGATTTCAGAAAGAAAAATGTTTTCGATGGCTGTTTGCTGTCTCCCAGGAGCAGCTCCTCCCTGGGGGGGCACACCCAATTAGCTCAGTCACTGCAATTAGATAAGAGTCAAAAAGAGCCAGTGGCCAGAAACGCGCTCCTAAAACCAAAGCCTGAAGGACAGCGTCCCCGTGAGTCCCTGACGGACGGCGTCCCCGTGAGTCCCCGACAGGAGCTGGGAGGAGGCTGGACCCCACTGGCGAGCGGGGCACCCGAAAGGGCACCCGAGCCACCCCCTTAGTGCAGGACCACCAAACCCCACTTTTAACCGATGGCTGCTTCTTCGTTACGATTTACTAAAGCCAACTCTCAGCCTTCAGAGGGCAGGCCTTGGAACTGTGCTCTATAAATACAACTTGTTAGCTCGTGTAGAAATTCTTTCTTTAATCTGAAAAAGTACTGTCACCCTCCTCTGAGCACACGATAGATGCTGCCTTCTGTGCTGTAGACTCCAACTAAATCTCGGTTGTCAAATTAGTAATTCATCTTTCTTGAATAACTATATTTTTAGCAAAGCTACCAGATTTAAATAATCAGACCTGCCAATGCTACCCTCATTTAAACGTGCTGACGAACTTTCACAGGCAGCATCAGCGAACATAATGAGTTTCTGGATGACAAAGAACTTCAGACCACGGTTCTCTACACTACCCAGCGTAATAAGCACTTGTTCTTTTCTACAATGCGCACATAAAAGAGGAATCTAAATAATAATTGCTGTAATTATCTTGAAAAATATGTGGTGATTAATGGTGATTATGAAAATCTGTATAATTGTTCACTGAAATCTCCAATGATCAGATGCTTTCCTGAAACAGCCGTTAATGAAGAACTTGGGAACACAAAAAGCAGCAAAACTCCAGCCAAGCTCCTGGCCGCCTGAAGCGCGCGAGGCCGCGATCGCCCGCGCGCCCGGCTCGGCTTTCACCCCTCCCGCCAACTCTCGGCAAGAGGTTCCGCGATGCCCACGACGCGACGCCAGTGTCACTGCGGTTAAAAGCACAAAGTTCAACCTGTTATTTATGCAAATAATTAATTACTCTTGTATCCAACTAGCAGTTTGTCATGACATATTAATGACTTGATAGACTTCTATGAACTAGTGAACACAGGACAGCAGAGCGCTTTTATCGTCATTTAATTTAAAAACGATCCTGTGTGAAATTATCTAGTCGTGAGTGATGGAAGCATAAAGAACAGACTCAGCAAAGCTTCTTTTGGATCATTGCTTTATTAATGGTAACGTCAGGGAAATGAAAAATGCTAACATTGTCATCTTTAGCTCCTGGGTGGGGATGAATAGCTGCCTCGGTGCTCGGCGGGCTGTTTGCACACTGCAGCGAGCGCTAATTCCTCACACCGCTATTGCGGGGACACGCGGCCACGGAAGGGCTCATACACCTCAGCTCCCAAGGAAATCACAGCTGGTTCTGCATTTAAATTCTCACCGTAAGCTTGTATAGCTTTGGATTTTTTATTGCTGTT